TTCGTTTTAACATTATATACAGTCTATGATTGTTAACTTGGAGGCTACTATTAGCATCGTTAGCACCGATGCTACCACTTGCTTACACGCTAACCCAAGCCTTAACATTATTCGTAGCTGATTAAAATCATTAACAAATAAATAAGTACTAGTCTCTATTTTCACTTACTGCAAAACCAATTGCATGCACCGTCTGTTTCAACCGCAGAGCGAGTCACAATAGTCCGATATACAGTGGGGCAAAAAAGTATTAGTCAGCCACCAATTGTGCAAGTTCTCCCACTTAAAAAGATGAGAGGCCTGTAATTTTCATCCTAGGTACACTTCACTATGAGAGACAGAATGGGGAGAAAGAATCCAGGAAATCACATTGTTGGATTTTTAATGAATTAATTGGTAAATTCCTCGGTAAAATAAGTATTTGGTCACCTACAAACAAACAAGATTTCTGGCTCTCACAGACCTGTAACTTCTTCTTTAAGGGGGATGGCTTTTCGGGCTGTTCCCGGGCCTTCACATAGCAGTTTCATTAGGTAGCATATATAGGTAGTATATTCCCCTCAAAGCCACGGTGCTTAAGGGGAATGGCTTTTCGGGCTGTTCCCGGGCCTTCACATAGCAGTCACTAGGTAGTATATTCCCCTCAAAGCCGTGGTGCTTAAGGGGGATGGCTTTTCGGGCTGTTCCCGGGCCTTCACATAGCAGTCTCTCTAGGTAGTATATTCCCCTCAAAGCCACGGTGCTTAAGGGGAATGGCTTTTCGGGCTGTTCCCGGGCCTTCACATAGCAGTCACTAGGTAGTATATTCCCCTCAAAGCCACGGTGCTTAAGGGGGATGGCTTTTCGGGCTGTTCCCGGGCCTTCACATAGCAGTTTCATTAGGTAGCATAAATCGGTAGTATATTCCTCTCAAAGCCGCTGTGCTCAGGGAAGAATCGGCTCTGGGCTATTCCTCAGGCCTACACATAGCAGTCTCACTTAGTAGTATATTCCCCTTAAAGCCGCTGTGCTTAGGGGGAATGGCCACATGGCAGCTCGCCAGGCCCTCTACTTATCAGTCTTACATCACCAGCGTCAGGCTCGGGCTACGCAGTTTTGGGGGTTAGTTATTTAATCATCACTCATCGTAGGGCTGTGCGATTATGGCAAAAATCATAATCACGATTATTTGGGTCAATAATTGATACCACGATTATTTTGACGATTATTCATTGAACATTTATTGAACTTTAAAACAAATAATATTTTACCAATAAACAAGATCAACAAATATGTTGGAGCGCACTTCCAAAACCATACTAAACATATATTATTAATATGATACATACAAATAAATTAGACCAAAATAAATGAAATCAAATATGATGCAGTGCACTGTCACAACCTACTGAAAACTCCTTAACATATAGCCAACATTTTGGTAAAACATATTCAACATATTCCACTCAGTTAAACGTTGAAGGCTGGCCAACCGTCATGGTCCAGAAGTAACAGGAAATAAATGTTGAACTACAATTTAAGACCAAATAAAAATGTCTAGGCCACCATGGCAAATGCTGGTAGGGCTGCTCGTGTCATCTCTTAAAGATTGTTCGCTGGAAACAACAGCCTGTTTACATGGTCTGGTTTCAGAGATGAGCGCAGGCAGGTGACAATATTGCCACCTGTACTGAAGACCCTCAGCCACGCCCCGACACATGGGGTGACGCCGGCCAATCACAAAGCTTTGATGCGTTCAAGTGCATTATTCTGGCACAGGAAGATTATGTTACAGGACATTAACGATAAAACAGAATATTGTTGTTCTATTTTTAGACACATCTCACGATCGACTGGTTGGGCACCCCTGGGCTAGACCATAGGTCTGTTGTGGTAGCAAAGTAGTCAGCTGAAGCCACATCTCTCTCAACTTCCCCATGGCATTTGTCATATAGTGCAGGCAGCGCAGACCTGCTGAAATAATACCGAGACGGCATCGCGTAACGCTTGTCCAACGTGTTGACAAGTTGCTTAAAGCCCTGGTTGCTAACAGTGCTAACTGGGCACATATCTTTAGCGATGTGGAATGTAATGGCAAAGTACTTGCAAATAGTGGAAATAGTTTTACCCTTCTTTTTAACGAGTTGCTGCTCTTGTTCTGACATCTTCGCTCGCGCTGAACACTCACAACACATGTCACTCCCACGTGGCCGAGTGGGCTTTTAGGGAGGGGCGAAAGCGCACCCAGCAAAATAATCGTATTTTGTCAATTATGCTGTTTTCATAATCGTCGCAAGCCATAATCGTAATCGCGATTAAAATACGATTAATTGCACAGCCCTAACTCATCGTGCTATGTATATCTATGGAGTGATGAGGTCCGAGCCTAATCGCCAAACTCAACTATATGCTGCTTCTAATAAACATGTTAAAGGAACACGTGAGTTGTCTGACTGAAATTAAGCACTTAACTATGAACTCAAGGACTAAAATTGACAGCGACAGCAATCAATCAATCATCATCAATCAATCAATCAATCTTTATTCATTATAGTGTCAAATCACAACAGAAGTTATGTCATGACTAGGGGTGGGACAAGACTAACGGGAAGAACCCTTATGCTACCCTTTCAGTTTTTAGTCTGTGACTGTGAAAATATTTTGGTGTAAGCCCAGTATTAGTTAAAACCAGACTCGGACAATAATAACAAAATATCCTGACAAATAATCTAAATAGAAACATATTACAGACAGTAGCAGCATTAGAGCTGAAACTCACTCACTCAACGGTGACTCAGTCATTATGAAACCATAAATAGAGAATTGGAAAAAAAAAAAAAAAATATATATATATATAGCTGTGTGAAAAGTCTAAGACAGGTCTGAATAGATATGCATTCTCATATACGTGTATGTGCACAAGTATGTATTGCTCTACTTCCTCGTCCGCAGACAGCCAGCTCCACTCCTCACCAAATTTGTGACCTGCAAGAAACAGCAAACAGAACTTGTACTCAGTATCTGTGTACTGACAAGTATATGTAGCCATGTAGCCTTTTTGTGACGTGGTGACACTTAGTGAACACATGTATCTGTCATGAAGGATGACTTAAGTCTCAAAAGAGCCCTAAGGCCTACCTGCATAACTGTTCATTGAACTTAAAAGATATGCAGATGTTTGAAATTAAAACCATCAATATGAAAATCTTCAGCCAGGAAATAATCATAATCAAACCTTTTGTTTCAATCTGAGACAAAACAAGTTGCATAATAAACTCACAAAGTCAAGACGAAGCTCTCAGATATGATGGATGACTCAAGCATCATAGAAGAACTTCTAGCAGGTCAGGAAAAGCTGTTTGCCAGGAGATAATGGTAGCAGAGAATATAAAGAGACATTTATGATTTACCAACTGTCATTTTATCACACATAGTATGTTTCTTCACATAAACCTTTAAACATACACACATTGCATTCCTCTCACCACATGAAATAAGCTCAGGAACCAAAAAGTGGCCCAGTGAATGATGGAGGAGACAAAGCAGGTCCTCAAAAGGTGACAGAGGGAAAACAACTCCTTAGGCTCTCATATATAGGGTGGTCAACCTAAAAGAGACATGGAAACATTATTAAGTCTCTCATCATCACAAATCAAGTATGAATTCATATAACATTATAAGACACATGACATACTCAACAGTGGAGCAAGTCCTCGAACATGGACGGAGGGGGAACAACTACTCAAGCTCTCACATGTCAAGTGGTCAACCTGAGAGGGAATTGGATACATTATTAAGTCTGAAAAATAAATAAAATGTTTTCCTCTGTCCTGCACCTAGAGTTGAAAACTTTTGGGATTGCGTTTCTTTCAAAACTTTTTTAAATTATGAAGTATGAATTTATACAACATTAAAAAATACATGATAAACTTACCAAATTCTAACAGTGGTCCCAAATGAGAGAACAAGTCCACATATAGAACAGAGGGAGAACGACTCCTCAAATATATCAGAACAACCTGTAATGGAGAATAATTGATCATTTCGTGTACATGATCACACCATTAAGGATCAACACATAAGCACAATAACACTTCTGAAAAGCATCATTCAAATGACAAATAATGAATTACTACATCCATAATGTGTGATGTGATAATAACAATAATATAAATATTCTCGCCTTATCAGTGGAGCAGCTTTTTAAGCAGCTCACTCTTCTCTGCAAGTCTGTCTATCACAGAGTCCAAGGCCATGAGGATGTCTTTTTCTGTGGCCATCAACATAAATGCCTCCAATTTCTCAGATGAGAGGGTGCTTCTGAGTCTGTTTTGAATAAACTTCAAAATGGAAAATGTGCGCTCACAAGCCACCTGTGTGAGGGATAATGTAAGCAGGTATTTATAAGCAAGGCCTAGGACAGGGTATGCATCTGTTAGCATGTTGAAACGGCGAAGTATCTGGTAGCAGCACAGAGGGCATTCTTTGCAGGAGCAACAGCTTATGGGAGTTATCTCAACCTCTTCTGTGTTGTCCTCCTCCTCACCACCTGATCCATCTTCTACTGTTCTTGCTTTGTACTCTGCCAATGGGGATGCCTTCAGCCTGTTCCACTGGAGTGCAAAGCTTTTCAACTCGGCCTGCAGATTTTCCTTGGTTGCCCTGCTGTCAAATCCTTGCAAGCACTTGCTTAAGTCTTGAAGGGCAGACTGGGGAAGAGCACTGGTACAGAGCTGAGGGAAGAGCACTGGGATCCAGACATGCCAAGTCAGCATATAGATTGCCGTGTGTTAAAAAGCGCCTATGAATGGCTTCAATTGCTGTGTCCATGATCCGGTTATGCACATTCACCTCATAGGATTGTTCTGCATCATCCAGGGTCTCATCCTGAGCCATCTCTCCAGGCAAGACTTTCTTCATCCTCCTCCTCTTTTGTGGCAGTGTGGCCTCCACTTCAATGTCCGTGTCATCTCTCTCTTGGATTTCTGTGTTTGTCCAGTTGACAAATGTGTCTGCTGCTTTTTTTACAGATTCAAAATCTCTTCCCAAGCTTTTCAGCGTATCCTGTGTCGATGCCACCATTCTGTGAGCAGAGAGGATGTCCAATCCTGCCATCTGAAGGTATTTAGACAATGGAGAGGTATGTTCAAATATGCGGAGGAAGATTTGAGCCGTCAAGATCGTCTCATACTTGAGCAATGACTCTGCATATCCTCTGGCCATGACACGGATACATGGTTTCACTGTTGCCTGTTTCTGTATAGTGTCAACAGCACATCAACGTACAGACCATCTTCCGCTTTTCCAAAGGAGCCAAACACCTTCTTCAGGGCCTCATGCTTGGCCCACCAGCGTGTCTCTTCTTCAGGGCCTCATGCTTGGCCCATCAGCGTGTCTCGCCAATAGGAGCAAGGCGTCTACGTCTCTTGTTTCGGCCTGACTCTTCCCACACATTCATCCTTTTATATGACTCTTTGATGAATACCGCAATGCCATTGAGGAGCGCAAACAGGGACCCACTCTCAATAACAATCTGGGTTGTGTTTGCAAGCACCAGATTTAGTACATGTGCGTAGCCAGGGTTGGGAGGGTTACTTTGTAAATGTAATCAGTTACTGATTACTGATTACATGGCTCTGAAAGTAATCCGAATATAGTTACAGTTACGTGTCTTAAAAAAACACAAAAAGCAAAAGGAAACTGAGCGTGTTTTTACTGTTTTAATGTGCGGCGGTAATAGGTTTTGTGCGCTGTGATGATTCGGCTGTACCTTTAGTAATGAATATTAAATGTTGTGAGGAAATCTTTCCATCAATAATTCCAATAAGTAATCCAAAATGTATTCACTTCAGGTTTACTAAAGTAACTGTAATCAGATTACTCGTTTTTTAAATGTAATGCGAGCTGAATACAGTTACTTGATTTTTGTATTCTGATTACGTAACACCGTTACATGTATTCCGTTACAACCCAACCCTGTGCGTAGCACCATACATGCACCTGGTTTGGAGATTGTAGATTGAGAAAGTAATCCGAATATTGAGATTGAGAAAGTAATCCGAATATAGTTACAGTTACGTGTCTTAAAAAAACACAAAAAGCAAAAGGAAACTGAGCGTGTTTTTACTGTTTTAATGTGCGGCGGTAATAGGTTTTGTGCGCTGTGATGATTCGGCTGTACCTTTAGTAATGAATATTAAATGTTGAGAGGAAATCTTTCCATCAATAATTCCAATAAGTAATCCAAAATGTATTCACTTCAGGTTTACGAAAGTAACTGTAATCAGATTACTCGTTTTTAAATGTAATGCGAGCTGAATACAGTTACTTGATTTTTGTATTCTGATTACGTAACACCGTTACATGTATTCCGTTACAACCCAACCCTGTGCGTAGCACCATACATGCACCTGGTTTGGAGATTGTGCAGACAACAGTGAGGAGAATCCTTTGTATTGGCCTTGCATGTTTGATGCCCCATCAGTCACATTTCCAATGCACATGGTCTTGCTGAGGCCCATTTTGTCCAGAACTTCTGACAGCATGTTGACAAAGGCCTGTCCAGTGGATGAACTGCACTTCAGCACTGCACCAACAAGCCTCTCATGAACAACATCAGTAACATACCTCATCATTATAGAGCATTGATCCTGAGAGGTGATGTCCTGCGTTGTGTCCAGCTGCACTGAAAACATTCCTGCTTTCTTGATATCACTGGAGATGTTTTCTTGAATCAGATGGTGAATTGCATCTATCACTGAGTTGACTGTGGTTTTGGAGAGTAAAGTTACAAGGGAGCCTCTGCCTCTCGTGCCACCAGACAAATGCAACTTTTTGCTGTTCTCAATGCAGCTGTCCAGGTGCTCTCTTAAACAGAAATCATACTTCCACAGTAGAAGTATGAGTTCCAAGAAATTACCATGATCAACTTTCAATCAATCAATGTTTATTTATATAGCCCAATATCACAAATGTTACATTTGTCTCAGTGGACTTTACAGTTTGTACAAAATATCAGTATGACAATACGACACCCTCTGTCCTTAGACCCTCACATCGTACAAGGAAAAACTTCCAAAGAAAACCCACAGTTTAAAGGGAAAAATGGGAGAAACCTCAGGGAGAGCAACAGAGGAGGGATCCCTCTCCCAGGACGGACAGACGTGCAATAGATGCCGTGTGTAAATTGAAAAGATAATACATTTGCAACATAGGTAGTCCAAATGTTTGGAAATGCATGTGTGTATAATAGGAAGATGAATCCACGAGGATATCCATCCAGGGCCTATGATCCAGGACCACAGCCACGACTCAAGATCCAGGGCTCGCGATCCAGGACAGAGGAGCGCAGGATCATCCATGACTCCGGATCCCGGCGTATATAGACACCAAAAAGAAAGACATTTGGGGAAGCTGGGTTAATCGGAACATGAGAGTACACAGGTATAGACAGAGAGAAGGAAGAAGTAAGATGTCCCCCGACAAACTAAGCCTATATCAGCAAAACTAGGGGCTGAATCTAATCAGCCCTAACTATAAGCTTTATCAAAAAGGAAGGTCTTAAGCGCACTCTTAAAAACGGATAGGCTGTCTGCCGCCCGAACACAAACTGGAAGCTGATTCCACAAATGTGGAGCTTGATAAGAAAAGGCTCTGGCTCCCATTGTACTTTTAGAGACTCTAGGAACAACCAACAACCCTGCATTCTTGGAACGCAATGCCCTAGTAGGACAGTAGGGTATAATGAGTTCTTTGAGGTAAGATGGCGCCTGCCCATTAAGGGCTTTGTAGGCGAGAAGAAGAATTTTAAATTCTATCCTGTGTTCTATAGGGAGCCAGTGTAAGGCAGCCAGAACAGGAGTAATGTGGTCCCTTTTCCTAACTCTGGTTAGTACACGAGCCGCAGCATTTTGAATCAGCTGAAGCGACTTGACTGACTTCTTGGTACACCCTGATAATAAAGAGTTACAATAATCCAGCCTTGAAGTAACAAATGCATGGACTAGTTTCTCTGCATCGTTTTGAGGCAAGATATGCCTGATCTTTGCAATGTTACGTAGATGGAAGTAGGCGGTCCTTGAAATTGATTTTATGTGGGCGTTAAAGGATAAATCCTGATCAAATATAACACCAAGATTCCTTACAGTCTCACTGGAGGCCAAATTAATGCCATCCATAGTTAGTATATCCTTAGATAATTTGTTTCGTAGATTCTTCGGGCCGAGTACAATAACTTCAGTTTGTGTCGTGTTTAACATCAAAAAGTTTAAGGTCATCCACGTTTTTAAGTCCTTGAGGCAGTCTTGAATTTTATTTAGATGATTAATTTCATCAGGCTTGATTGATAAATATAGTTGAGTATCATCTGCATAACAATGAAAGTTTACAGAATGATTCCTTATAATATTGCCTAACGGAAGCACTTTCAGTCAGACAACTCACGTGTTCCTTTAACATGTTTATTAGAAGCATATAGTTGAGTTTGGCGACTAGGCTCGGGCATCATCACTCCATAGATATACATAGCACGATAAGTGATGATTAAATAACTAACCCCCGAGCCTACAGGTGGAAGCTGGGGTGGAAGCTGGGGTGGTGGTGGGGCAGGCAAGCAGCAGCGATGTAGAGGTAGCTGCAGCAATAGCAGCAGCAAGCAATGCATGGAGAGAGATCTGGCAGGTTAAATAGAGCGGCATATTAAGGAGACTCTGGTTGGTTGTAAAGTGGCAAGGGGGCGTTATGTATGAATGCAGCATAAGTGCTCGAGTTGACTGCCTGAACTAGCTC